CGTCTTGTCGTAGTCCCAGGCGGTCATCTTTAGATCTGTGAACACGTGCGGGATGATGACGTTGGCGGCGGCATGCAGTAGGACAGGGTCGCGCGGCACGTTGTCATTGATGAGTTGAGGTGCCTTGGCCGTTCGCCGCCTGATTCTACAAGAAGTAGTGCGGGAGCATAGACCGTGGGGCAATGCAATGTAGTCGGGGCGAGTGGCCTGTCCATGGGCGCCGGTGTACATGGGCCTCGCGTACCAGAAAACGTTCAGGATGCACCTGCCGTGCACGTCGAGCACGAAGTGGAAGGCGGCGGTTACCCCTCCAGGTACTCCTATGGGGCCAGAATCGCCGCTCGCGTAGCTGGGCGAGGCGGGACGCAGTCCTTCCTGGCCGTGGTGGTCGTTCAGGTCGAGGCCGATGATCGGCGTGCTCCTGGTGGGCGTCGCGTTCTGGGTCTTGTAGATCCGCTTGAGTTTCTCGTTGATCGTCTTGATCCGAGCGTTGTGGCGCTTGGCGAGCCCTGACCGTGGAGGAAGAGCCGCAACAATGAGATTCGTGTCTAGTCCTCCTCTATGAAGGCTGGCTCCTGCGCGTCCTTGAATGCTCGGCGGCGGGCGGGGGAGCGCGGTCACACACTTGATGCGGTAGCGGTTGCTGAACGTGTTGGCCACGCCCGCGTGATCGTTGGTGAAGGATCCACTGCCGTAGCCCCTCGTGACGATGCGGTGCTGGTAGGTCTAGAGCTGGTCGACGGGGCTGGAGGCGTGCTGCCTGCGACGAGCGGCTGGTAACTCGATGACGTCGCCTGCGCTGAACTGTCTCGGCCGCTCCGAGCTTCTCAGTGGCTCGCCCGTGCTGAGCGGGTTGTACACACCCTGGCTCGGGAATGTCATCCAGAAGATCGCGAGAGAAGAAAAATGGATGGCCAGCCGCGCTGGCATGACATGAAGGGTGCCCTGGGGGCGGAAGCTGCTCTGCGTGGGGTGCCTGCTGGGCCGCGAAGAATGGGGCTAGAGCAGGAGACGGCGGCTGACGAGGAGGAGGAGGAGGAGGAGAAGGAGGACGACGACGACGACGACTGTCTGGGCCTGGAGCGTAGCCCTAGGGGTAGGCCCTAAGGATAGCCCTAGGGTAGCCCTAGGGGTAGGCCCTAGGGGTAGGCCTAGGGTAGCCCCAGGGGTAGGCCTAGGGTAGCCCTAGGGGTAGGCCCTAGGGGTAGCCCTAGGGTAGCCCTTCCTTGGGTGATCTATAAGACAGATACAGAGAGACAGAGAGATAAGGGAGAAATGTGTGCGAGGTATGAACGCAAGGAGGTCGAACTCGAACAACAAAAATGATGTGGGAATTCCCATGATTTTTCAAGATGGGGCCCCAACTTGGCAGTGGTTAAGTGCAGCAGGAACCGGGGCGAGGGAGGCGGAGAGAGACAGAAGGATATATGAGGAGGAGGGAGGAGGGGAGAGGATGACGAGGAGAGATGAGCCGCTTCCTCCGAACTCGCCGCCAGAAGGGGATAACAAAACATGATGGTGTGAAACGGGAAGCAAGAGAGAGATCAGTGGAAACGGACAGCGAGGGACGGGGAAGATGGAAACGCTTTCCCGGGGAGGGGGGAATTGAAAAACATGTACGTGCGAACTGTCCCTCTTGTTTCAAGATGGGCCTCTGACCCTTTCATGGGACAGGAGGCTTGGTGAGGGAGGCGGAGGGAGGAAGGAGTGAAGGAGAGATGAGGTGGGAGAAGGACGGAAAGGACGCGACGGAGAACAGGGAGCAGGAGAGAGGCATGAGAGAAGGGAGAGATAAAGCGAGAGGACATCTCGTGGCAGTCTCCCGGGGGCGTTTCTGGGATGTCTTCAGAACCCATCAGGGAAGACGGAGGGCGGAGAAGGATGCGGGGGGGTGAAGCAGGGGAGAGAGAACAATGGGAACGGATAGCCAGGGATGGGAGAGGCGGGAACGCATTCTGGGCGGGGTGGGCTCGACCTTGAAAAAAAAGCGAGTTGTAGCATGTCCATGCTTTGCAGGTTGGGGATCCTGCCACTTCGTGAGGCAGGAAGCTGGGTGAGGGATGCGGAGGGAGGGAGGGGTGAAGCAGAGATGACGTGGAGGGAGGAGGGCAAGGGAGGCAACAAGGGAAAGGGAGGAGGAGAGAGGGATCAGGGCAGGAGGGAGGGGCGAGGAGAAAGGATGTCACTGGGCAGTCTCCCGGGGGACGGCCCTGGGTTGTCGTCGAGACCTTCCTGGAGCCTGTGCGGGCGTCTCGTGGTGCCTCTTGTGTGCCTCTTGGGTGCCTCTTGGGGGTCTCGGGGGGCTCTCGGGGGCTCTCGGGGCGCTCTCGGGGGCCTCTCGGGGGTTTCTTGGGGGTCTCTTGGGTGATCTTTGGGCTTCTGGCAGCCCGTGGGGGCCTCTTGGGCGGCCCCTGGGGGCTTTTCGGGGACTGCCTGGGGCGTCTCCTGGAGGCATGCTGTAGCTCTCGTGGGGAGCATGCGCAAGCCTCGGTATCGCACCGGGCGGGAAAATGCGAGAACGCAGAAATCATAGATGTTCCTCAGTTGTTTCAATGACTTTGGCCTCTCGAGGGCTTCCTTGGAGGTCTCTTGGGCGGTGTTGGGGGACTCTTCCTGTTTTTCTCCGAGCTAAAGTCAGCACGCTGACAGTCGAATGCCATAGGACACTAGGTGCGTCAAAGCCTCAACAGCCTCGCCGAGAGCAATGGCTTCAGCTTCAAATGACGACATCGGATTCTATATACATGTGCCAGCCATGAAAATTGAAAGCGCCTCTGGCCGTCCACGCGTTCAGGCTACCATGCAGCCGCCGAGCAATAGCCTGGGTGCCGCCAAAATTCAAGCCAAGGGCATTGCAGAAAACAAGGGCTCCCAACTTCGCGCTACACGCTGCGCGAAGCGCGAAGCGCGAATACCTTCGCGCTCTCGCGCCGCCTCCCAGGGGAGAAGAGGAGGATGAGGAACCGGAGCCGAACCGCGAAACGCGAAACGCGAACAACTTCGCGCCATCGAAGGCGCCCTTGGAGAACACTGGTCACCCCGATGGCTCAAAGCACACGGAGGTACACGCCAAAGAGAAGGGAGTTCGGCGATCGACGAGGGCGAACGGTCCAGGAATTCCGGAACACCTCCCTAAGAGGGGACTCGTGCCATGGGAAAAGCGGGCGACTCCACGGGGTAGGCCTAAGTGCTGGAAAAACTTCCTACGCATGGTGTGTTCAGCGTGCCTCCCTGGCAAAACCGTGGGCTGCGCACGAACTTGGCATCCATCGGGAGCGGCCAAAGAGGGGGGCGTCCAAGAGGTGTGTGTGTGTGTGTGTGCGTGTGCGTGTGTGTGTGTGTGTGTGTGTGTGTGTGCGTGTGTGTGTGTGTGTGTGTGTGGGTAAGCCAAGGCTCCTCCCCCTCCCCCCCGTCACCACCCCCCCCCTTGGCCGCCCCCAGATCCAGGGGCGGGGCCGTCTGAGGCGGCACGCCCCCCGGGGCGTGCCAGTTGAAAACAGGGACGTCGACAAGGTCTTGCGGCAGAGACGCACCCGTCCACAGCCACACTTGTCTGGTTGCGTCGGACAAGCGTGTGCACGCAGGGCAGAGCGAAACGAACAAATCGATGTTCCTGGAATGGCAAGTAGACATTGGGGAAGAGGAGGGAGCAGCTGCAGGAGAGTGAGAGGGAGGGAGGATCGGGGTGAGAAGGGAAGACGTTGCTCGTGCACGTGTGCACGTCTCTAGGCTCTGACAGCCCACGGATACAAGCATTTTGGCAGCTTGAAGTAAACATAACAACCCAACGTGTGCTGTGTAAGCTCAAGGGCAGAGTGCGGTTCGTTTGACACATCTGCCGATAGGAGGCAAGCTCGCTCCCACAGTGAGGGCGCGGACAGCTAGCCCCCAAAATCGCCGCAAGGCGGTGGGAACGCATGGGAACGGAATATTGAGGAGAAAGGAGAGGAGACTGCGTCAAGGTAATACCGACGGCATCGGCCGACTTTTCTGCGGTTGCAAGCGGCCAGAGCAATCCAAGCTGACGGTAAGAAGACCTGCGCAACGAAACTGAGGGTATGCTCTGACTTCGCCGTCCCAGCCAGCGTGTTTGAGCCGCTTCGAAGCAAATGCCAAGATTTCGAGCATCCCGACAATGAATGCGTGAAGACCGTGCAAGTCACAGAATGCGCCCAAGCGAATGAACAGCAGGAGCACGATCAGGAACACCAAGAGGATGATGATGCTGAGGAATGGCACTAAGTTAACGAACAAGGGACAAGGGGAGGAGGATACGGGCAACTCATGTTTAGGAAACTTGCGAGTGGAGACTCCCTCCAGGCGTCTTGTGGCAACTGCCCAACGGCATGCTGCTGTAATCTGCCTCATGGATGAAACTTGCTTCATTTCCTCTGCAAGCTTAATCATACAGTGCATCACCTGCATTCTCGCAATCTGGCGTCAGGACACACTCTAAGCGAGGCTACAAACGCTCCTGCGCGCACTGAAAACCAGGCGTACCACCGTGCCAGGCTTGTGTGCAACACCCGCGTGGGGAATCGGCTAAATCGATCTCCATGCCGTTGAGCGTGGCGCCGAAAACCTTGCACTCTGGCTTGATCCATGTCAGGGGCAACTCGGGACGTGGGGGCGGTAGATGCGAGCAGCACGGTGGTTGTGGCATATCTGCTGCACCTTTGACCTCGTCTTTGAACTTCCCACCGGCGTCGTGTAGGTGACAAAAGTTACATGTTGCACCAAACCTGCACGTGCCTCTTCTGAAGACAAAGTTGCAGTACCGAGGGCAAGCCCCCTTCACGCAACGGCCCTCAGGGCGGCAGTCTGAGCAACGCTCACGAGTCTTGAAGAACTGCTCGTTGACCATTCGCGTGGGCGCCCGTGGGAGCAGCCATTTCCTGGCCTCCAGTCGCTGATACCAGGTCGGTCGGCACGTCAATGTTGTGCACTGCCAGTGCCCGCAGGCATGAAGCACGCCTACTGAATCACACGTCGGACAACTCATGCCATCCACGTGCTCGTCGGTCTGGGCGCCGATCGCACCGACGGCCCGCGCGCTCAACGGTGCGTGCGCGGCGCCGCTCGGAGCCTCCAGCCAACCCTCCACCCCGCGCTGGCTGTCCTCGCCCTCGCCGGCGAGGCCGCCGACACAAGCGTGGCTGTCCTGCATCAGCGTCGACGCCGTCCTCGGGGTGCCGCGGGGCGAGGCGCGGGCGGCGAGGCCGCGGCCCGACGGCCCCAAGAGGTCCCCCTCGCTGCGGGCGCGCGCGAGTCCGGGCTTCACGTCCACCGCCTCGAGGAAGCCGTTCTTGACGACCAGCTGGAAAGCGGCGGCCCCGCGCCGCGTCGCCGCCGGGGCGCCTGCCGCGCCGGGCGTCTCCAGGGCCGCCCCGCGGAGCATCCCTGGGGCAGCTCTTGCAATATCGGCCACGCCTGGCTGCGAGCGGCTCTTCGGCCAGAAAGCCTCGAGCCCAAAGGCGTGAGCACAATGGCTTGAGCCAGAATCGCTTGAGCCAAAATGGCTACGGAGGTGTTGGGGGACTCTTGGAGGCCTCTCAGCACTGTCTTGGGCGCTCGCGGGTGTCTCGTGGCCGTCGGGTGGCTGCAGTGGGCCGTCTCAAAGCCTTTCGGGTTGCCTCGGAGGCGTCCTGGGCCGTCTCGAGGCCCCCCTAAGGCTCCCTGGGAGAGGCCCGGGAAAGCGGTACCAGAGATTTGTCCGACATGTCAGCGAGGTGGGCGGTGCCCCTGAAAGGAGGCGGTATTGTGTATACATACATGTATTTATAATAATAAGTCAATAAATGTGTATATATATATATATATATATGTCTAGATGTGTGCCAATCACTTCTCGCACAATTGCTCACACTATGCGAAGTCAAAGGACTCAGAATCGCTTCCCAATGCCATCGTCTATCGTATCGCTATCAGGGTGCCTTTTCCGGGATCCTCTGCTCCTTCTCGGCCTGGGCCCTACCAGAGCCCAGTTCCGAGCCCCAGAGGATCGTTGGTCCCCTGCCGCCCACTCCTGTCGTTTTCCATTGGAGCGCTTCCGATAGGACCGCGCCCCCAAGGGTGGACGAGGGCGGGTCGCGGCTCGCTCCTGCGCGCGAGCCCAAGCTGCAGGCGGAGGAGAGGAGGGAGCCAACTGAAGAGTCTGGGAGACACTGGAAGTCAGGAGAGCCGGCTCCACGCAGAGGCGACCCTGGGAAAGCGCGCCCTGTGGTGCGCGGCTGGCCAATCGATGCGCGGTGCGCTGCGACAGGAGCGGCCTGCGTGCTCGAGGCTGGCCCGCTCCCCGCGCTCCCCCGAAGGCCGTGCACCACGGGTCACTCCCGCACAGAGGGCCGCCCCTGCGCGTGGCCGCGAGGACGGCCCGGTGCGAAGGGGCTGGTCCTGGAGCATGGGGAGGGGAGGGGGAGGGAGAGGAGGAGGGGGAGGGGGAGGGGGAGAGGGAGAGCCCGCGGAGGAGCCCAGGGTGCGAGGGCGGAGATACAGCCGCACCCGAGCGAACAGGGCACCCGAGAGGGCACACTGGTGACTACCTACCAGACCACCCCAACCCAACCCGAAGACCCGAATTTGGCCCGAATTTCGGGTTGGGGGGGGGTACGGGTTCCATGGCAAATTGAAGCCTTCGGGTTGGGTTAGGGTGGTTTGGTGGGTCCTGGAGCATGGGCCCGCGGAGGGGCCCAGGGTGCGAGGGCGGAGATACAGCCGCACCTGAGCGGACAGGGCACCCGAGAGGGCACAAGGCTCCTCCGACGGCAGCGTGGCCCCAGAATACAAAGGGACGCGCGGTCTGCATGGGTCGGGACAGGCAGGACACAAGGGTACCCTCGATTTGGCAGCGTCGACCTGTCAATCAGGGCCGAGGGCCGACGGTACATCCATCACCACCGCCTGGGTGATCGTTCGTCGAGGATCTCGGCCGGCCGGGATGGGGGTGGGGAGAGAAACGTGTCCACATCGGCCGCCTGCCGAGGCCCCCGAGGATCCATCCTCCAGGCGGTGGTGATGGACAAGCCCCCGCCTCGCACGCGACGACGCGAGGGCCCCATGGGTCAACAGTCAGCCTTCCGATCATGCTCCGGGGTGCGCCCTGGACAGGCTTGCAGGGCGGATCCAGCCTTGGCGCGACGAGGCGCCCACTGCAGGCCACGGGCGAATCAAGTCAAAGATCGACCCTCGAACCTTCGAACCTCGACACTTCGGCGCGAGGGGTGTCTGGGGTCCTCGCCACCATCTGGGCGAAGCGCGACCCCGGGTTGCCCAGCAGCTCCGCCGGCGCGCCGAGCTCCGCCGCCTCGCCCGCCTCCATGACCAGGATGCGGTCGTAGCCCAGGACGGTGTTCAAGCGGTGGGCGATGCAGAAGATCGAAGGACAAACAAGAGTCATTATTTTGCTCCCATCGCACTTCAGGACAAAATCCCAAATATCATTTCGAGCACCCGGAAAAGTGTCGAAAGAACGTCGGAACAATGTCGAGACAATGTCTCCCAGGGCCCGACACGTGAAAACCCTCGAGAATTTCGGTAGTTTTTGGGTGCTGGAACTTCTTTCTGGTGATCAGGGCTATAAAGTAGGTTGGAACATAATGAAACAAGAACTGCATCGGAGCGAGGGGACCGAACGGTCTCGCACCATCCCTGGGCGCGTGGGTGGAGTGGGCTTCCGTGGCCCGCATTTCTGCTTGCCCCCCCCCGACAGGTTGGGGCTGCTAGTTCTGACGCACAGAGCTCCCGCCCCGCCCGCCCTGCAGACCGCGGCCGCCAGATGCCCCAGGTCCACCCAGTGTCCCCGAGTACAGTCGGGGCTCTGACCTAAGGAACCCTAAATGAGGAACGAGGCCCCTTTTTTCCATAAGTTAACTTTTGATTCCTTGTCGAAAACACCAGGAAAGCCTGAGGCAAGCTGTGAAACACTTAAGGAACGCGGAGCCCCTTCCCAACGAAAAGGGTTCCTTCTTCAGGGCCCCGACT